TTCAGACGTGTGCTCTTCCGATCTCCCCAAAACCCCAAAACCCCAAAACCCCGTCAGATGAGATCAGGCAAGAGTTAATGAAAAATATAACAAAAGAATACGAATAAAATATTTTAAATTTAATCAAAATAGATATATCAACCTAATTTATATTAGTTTTCTTTATCCCAAGTATGGTAGCTTTAACATTATAATTTTGGACATTTTTTGGACACTTTTTTTCATTTTTTGAGTCATTAATTAATGGTTTAAACCTCAATGTTGTGAATTTATTTTAAGTAATCGAACCCTCTAATATATACTTCAGTCTATTTGTTCATTGTTTTGTTTATTACCAAGGAATTTTGTGAATGGTATTCCATAAAATGGTGGATAAGAATTTAATAGGCCTCCCATCCATTGATGAAATCAAATTTTTTTAGGGTAAATTAGTATAAACTAGAGTTTATCTCTGATATAAGTTTTTATGAGCATTTGTCTTCAAAGAGTGTGTCCATCTTCTTTGGATAAAACATTGAGCCAAGGAGAAAAGACATTTCTTTTACTAAATCTTATTTTTCTTAATTATTTTTCGTATAGCTCCATTTTTGTGTAGATAAAATTTGCTCGGAAAATTTTTATAGTGCAACCAAATAGTACTTTTTGTCTCTGTATTATTGCACCTTCAAGTATCTAGTCTGCTCTTAGAATTCTTTAAGGTATACACGGCGTATCTCTCTAGTAATTGTTTTCAGTAGCACATCAATTCTTTGGAAGTCCTCAAGGTATTATTCGTGCTATACTCTCTTTGCTCGGCCAAGCTCATTGCTGAGTATGAAAGAATTTTTTCGTAATATGTGCTTAGTCATCAGATCGATGTCTACTCCCGCGATATCACTAGCAATCTCCTTTCTATTGATTTTTACCTTCTGCTACTTAGATTTGACAGATTAATTCTTGATTATTCCATTTGATTGCTAAAGCTATCCCGATTTCTGTTGAATTTTAACTTTAAAATCACTTTTATTGACCTGAAAACTTGCTGAAAACTACTCATCTACAGTGAGTTCCTCACCTACTGATCCGTATAATACGTTTTACGAAAACTCTCTGATCAAAAGTTCGCAATTATAGACCTAGTCTATGTCTAAACAACCTAAATTTGCATTGTAATTAATCATATCATTGTCTTTCTTCTTGTAACTGAGTGCTGACTCATTAACTATGCTTAATTCATTATTCGTAAAGAGATCACGATCTTGCCACATATCAAGGTCCGAACCAACCTTAGGCTAGAAGCAAGGGATCTGAAGGAAATTTTTGGGACTAAAGTCTGTAAAGTCGTCTTGAGAGTAGCTAAATGAGTCTGGGTGTGAGTTATAGAGGTCAAATGAGTCGAAGTTAGTTTGAATTGAGTTGAACATATGTCTTACTTTATGTGTTTTAATTGTAATTTATAATTAAGATGTTAAGAGTCTGATTCACTAATATTCGGGAGATTGATTAAATTTAAGTTATCTTACTCATCATCGATTCATTCTGGGCCATATGGGGTTTTGGGGTTTTGGGGTTTTGGGG